TTTTTGAAATTTTTAGCGTATCATGAATTTGATTTAATATATTGATTTTTAATTATTATTTAGAGATAAGCATTATGTAGATTCAATTGGTAACAACTTCCCACAAATAAAAATACAAACTAGCTAATTAGGTTGCGGCGGGGCGGACCTGCCCCGCCCCGCCCCGCATGGGGCGGGTCATGGGTCAACAAGTTTGGACCCGTGCAGGTCACGGGGCGGGGCGGACCCGCCCCGCCAAGTCACGGGGCGGGTTCGGGTCTTGCAATACCCGCCCCGCCCCGACCCATTGCCATGCCTAATTGCTTGCTTGCTTGCTTTGGGAACAGTTCGGAAACTTCACGCACTCACCGCTCCGGCCAAGACGTACAATGATTCAAGAGTAAAGTACAAGCATATTATGCTCTCTGAAGTCAACGACATTGTTATTTTATTCTGAATGATGGTTACTATCCAGTTCGCTTTAGGAAAAGAAAAATGTTAGAAGCCTAACTTAAGTTACTTCCAATTGCTACTCAGTTCTCCTTCCTAATTTATAGGTCTTATTTGATAATTTTGATCATATTATGATAATTGAGGAAAGTAATTAGGGTGTTTTCACTCTGATTGATACCAATCGAAGATTAAGGATGTTTTCTTTTGGACTGAAATTTGCTGATCTGGTCTGGTCTGAATTGATCTGATCTGGTCTGGTAAAAGTCTGGTCTCTGTGTATTTTAAAACTACGGAAGTCAAGTCTGATCTGATCTGGCCTGATCTGAGCCAAAAAACGGTGCAAAAGAACATCCTAAATTAGGAGGTGCCCTGGATCTTTACTGTCGGGTTCGTCTTGTAAGCCCATTGTCCTTATTTCGACTCTTTGGGCCCACTAAAATGTGACAATAAATTCCACCAAGTTTTTTAAAATTAATATTCTGTACATATAATTATATTTCAATATATTTTGAGTTTGATAGATTTTTTTAATGTATTTGATATACAGAAATTCAAAAATTAAAATGAATAACATTAATGAAATGAGAAACAAAAATGCGACATATATATATATATATATATATATAAATATAAATATATATATATATTAAAGCATAATTTTCTATCAACTAAAGGCGTTATAATTATTTTTAAGTAGTTAGTCATTCAAAACCCACATTTAATTTTAAGTAAAATGATTAAGTTGACTTTTTTGTTTGGTTCTCATCTTATTGCATGTTACCTTCAATACTTTTATTAGAAATGGGGAGTGATTAATATTAAAATTACATACAGGCTTCAATTTGATCTTAAAAATCAGAATGTGTAAATCTCAATATATTTGACCCGTTTCGGGAACTCGTTGAATTCATGTATGGATCATTTATTCCAGATCCGCCAGGTAGTGGGTCGAATTGAATTTGGAACATAAACTAAATTAACGGGTTCATTTTGGAATACTATGTTTCGACCCGAACTCGATCGATTGACATGTCTGTTAATTTGTTTTTTGTTTTTTGAAAACTAGAATTCCCTTTTATAACATGGCATTGACGTTTAATTTTGTGATTGGATGGATTCTACTTTTGTAACGTAATAATGTTCTAAACTGATTACAAAACAGTCTTGATGGCAAAGCAAATGTGATTATCTTATGATGAAAATGCCATAAATGTGACCAACATAAGCTAATCATATTAGTTATTACTAAATTTCATTAATTATTGATTAGAATTATAAGTCAATTTATATTTTACTACGTACCGCATAAGTAAATCCATTCAATTAAGAACAGCAATACTATGCATATAAATATAGCAGTCTACGGTGTGCTTCAAAGATTGAACAACCATTATTGTCCTACACATTTTACTGTTTATATACTTGTACAAATTTCATGTGATTTTTTCCTGTATGTCACAGGCAAAACGTGACACGCTTTTCTGTGACACACAGAAAAAGCCTTCACAAACAATGTGTACATTAGTGTCAAGTGTGTCAACTATAATAATGTGTACAAAAGGCTTTTTTGAAGATTAAAAGGCCAAGGACCCTGGCGTATTAAAATATAAGTAGGTCCGAGCCTCCTAGGCGTATTAACAATAAGTTCTTTAATTTAGGTTTTCTCGGATTGGATAACTCTCTATTTTTGTTTATCAGGTTAATTGATATTTTATCGGAAACTAATTTTTTTTGTTTCACATGCTATATCATATAATAATTAAAATAAATAAATTTGTAGTTGATTTTCTGATTCAATTGTTTGATTTTAGTTAACACTTTTTTTCATAATATTTTTTAATTATGATTTAATTTGTAAAATTATTTTAAACTATAATTTTATTTACTATTCAAGATATAGTCACTTCGGCCTTTTCAAACAAAGTTTCTGACTTTTAGCAGTTTCGACAAATTCAATGAATTCAAATGTTGTCATTCAAACTTTCAATATTTAATTTAGGGCCTATTGGTAATTTCTATTTTCTGGTTATGAGTCAGCTTTTTACTAAATATAACACACTGAATAGTGTAATAACCAAATAACTAAGCTCGGAAATACTTTTTTAATTAAATTGACTGAAGTAATCGTAGAAGGCAATTTTGTCTATTTTCATGTATTTTTTTTAAATTTTATTACTCCCTCCATTTCGCAAACAAAGTCACGCTTTCCTGTTTTGGATATGCCAAAATAAAACTCACACTTCCCTTTTAGGAAAGTTTTACCAGCTAATTTACCCTCGTACCCCTTTCCCATAAAATATACTCAACCCTTTCCCATTTAATTTTCCCAACCAACCCATTCCCATTTAATTTACCCTATCTGCCAACCCAGCCCACCCAACAACCTATCCCCCCCATTAATCCCCCCACCCAAGCAATCGGCACCCAACCTTCATCTTCCCGAAGCATCTGTTCATCATCTTCTCCACCTCTCTCCTTCGCATACTCCCTTCGCCCACACTCCGCTACTACCCATATGTCGTTCTCTCCCAGCGCAACCCCCTTCTGAGTTGTTTCGACAAATTCAATGAATTCAAATGTTGTCATTCAAACAATGGCAGATCTGTATTCTTCCTCACCAGTCAAAACCCCTCCTCCAGCTAAGCACATGCAATCCAAAAGTTTGGTGGATGAAGGGAACCTGACACCTGTTGTATACCCCAAATCCAAATTTGATCTTCCAATATATCCATTGCATACATCTCCTGCGAGGCCAGTTGTTTTCCGGGGGGTTCATTTCAGTTACTCCAGCGAGGGTGAGACAGATCTGAATTGGGCAATATGAAAGAAATATGGTTCCAGTCTAGTTTCTGACACATACGATGGAAGGCTTGGAAGATGGAGAGGAGGTGACTTCGGCAGCGGCGGATGCAGGTGGCTACAAGACAGGTTCAGATTGGAGTTCTGACTTTGGGGAAGAAGCGGAGAAAGAGGCTCGGCTTGATTTGAAAGGGAAGTAACATGTTCCCTATTTCTCTGTGCTATGAACTGAACATATTATGGTGAAATTCCTTGTTTGTTGCTTGTTTGTTGTTACCGTGCGCATATGTGTGTTGGTGTTCCATGACTACTGGGAACTAATGATGTAATGGGGCTTGAGTTCAACTTTTCTGAAATTTGTAGCCTAGTGTACATGTTGTTTTACAGATGCCACCCAATTGTGAAATTGAAGGAGGCTCTGTTTGCATTGACTAGTGTGTGGAAGAAAATTAACAGATTGCATTTCATATATTGTGCATTGCAAGTGAAAAATTACATGGCATTTAAATGTTGGTTTTGGGCTTACAACAACATTGTACACAAACTACATGGAAGTACATTACTACTTGTACTTCCATACCAATGTACAAACAAAATGCATCCAAAAAAGCATTGACAGTTCAGTTTTGTAGAACAGAAAATTCAAAACTAAACCTGTCATAATCAGTTCATCATCAATGTAACATATGCCTATTCATCATTGATGATCTGTTTTGAGGATTGGCCTGCACTGGTAGTTGCCCCTTGTCCATTATAGTATGTCCTAGCTGTTTCATACAGTTCAAGACTAATCTGGACATTTGTTGGTAAGAGCCCTTGCCTTTCAAGTCTGTCTTTGCCTACGTGTTTCAATTTGAAATTGTTGGCTCCCTTGTCTTGCAGTATGCTTTCCATCACACATTGAAAGCTTATAAAAACTTTGCTCAATGTGCTTGCTGTGAGCTCATTGAAAGAAGTTTCCACAGCTTCAATTAAACCATTAATATTCTTTGGCCCCTTCTGATCTTTAATTGAATCAATGGCCCTAAAGAACCCCAAGTGCGGAACATTTATGTCTTGAGTATTTGTAGGCCGGCACTTCAGTTCAATCTTCCAACCATCCTGTGTTCCAATTCTGACAAAGTCAGGATCACTAACCCCTATATGAGGTCGTGCATTATCCTGTTGAATTATGACATGTTTGTTGCGTGAATCTGGCCACTTCTCTTTGATTGCTGGGACAACATGGTTTAGAATCATTTCTTTTATAACTGGTCTATTCACACTTAGAACTGGCTTTGTCTCTATAGTACCAGCAGGTCTATTTTTGTTAGCCCTTTTAGCTGGTTCTTCAAATATGAATGGAAATATGCCTACTTTTCAATCCCATAACACATCCCCATTCTCTGCTATTCTCGGCCTACCAACAACTATTAGAAACATAATCTTTGGAATGAACTTTTTTGATTGAGCAGTTCTATATGGATCCTCTTCTGTTGGGAGAGTGTAGAAAGTAATTGTTTCTTTTGAAAGGTAAAACCACTTTTCATCAATGTGTATGTAATCATAGAAGTGATGAAAAGTAGGCCTTGTGGTAGGGAATGTGGACTCATATGACTCAAACATTATTCTAACCTTTTCAACTTTCCAACATCTGAAAGGATTGACTTGATAGCACTAGAATGCCTTTTTATTTCCTTTCTTTTGAACCACCTACAGACGGTAGAGGATGACACTTACATAGCATAGCCCAATGCTCTCATATTTTTTCTTTGATGCAATGGTATTTCTTTCATCTTCTCACTGTCTAAGGCAATGTTTTTTCTGCCTACTTTACCTTTCATCTTGCTTTGCACGTTTATGGCTACACCTTCTTGCATCTGTGATTTTGCTTTGTTCCACAATCTGGACATTGTTTCTCTCCTGACTTTGAACTCCTTAGCTATGGTACTAATGCATCCCCTCTGAAGTTTCCCTTCACTAGACATGCGTAAAAACTTCGCTACTATGCGCATTCTTTGATTTTCAGTTAATTTAGGCCTGCCATTTTGTGATGTTTCTCCTTCTCCCTGACCGTGTGTCTGAAATGTGCTTGCGGGTGAGAGGGGGCCGAGTTGATTGTCCGGTGGCTGTTCTGAATCGAAGGGGAGCTCAGCTTCTTCCATTGATGGATGTTTTTGTATTTTGTTCTCTTTGTACTGGACTTTGTAGGAGAATGAGTTATGTAATTTTTTGAGGGATTTGTGAGGTTTACACTCTTTTATGACCATGTAAACACAATTTGGAGGGAAACCGTATGTGGCTAATAAAGAAACAAATTGCCGCCTAGTTGGTTGCGAGGTTACCGTGTCTAGCGAGAGGTCTCGTGTTCGAATCCCGCTAGGCACACAAGGGTGTGAAACTCAATGGAGTGAGTTTCAGCCCTGATTACTCCAGGCTCCCCCCAGCCCCCCTCCCCCAGACCCCCCTGGAGTAAAAAAAAAAAAGAAACAAATTGCCATGTACTGTAGCAGACAGGATGGTTCTACGGTACATGGCTTCATTCCATTTGCTTCTGGCCGGCCTTCTTTACTCGTTTTTACCGTATGAATGTTTAGTTATTACACCCTTGCTTTAGTAAGGGTATTTCAGGAACCCAAGACAAAAAACAACTTCCCATAATATTACAAAAGTCAAAGTGTGACTTTCTTTAAGAAACGGAGGGAGTATAATTTTTCAATAATGCAACAAATTTTGTTAGTTCAATCACTTCAATAAGAATTTTACATATTTCACCAGATTGAGCCAATTCAGTCAATTTTTATATACCAATCCTTATTTCATAAAAGCTAATTACGTTACTTTAAGAAATAATTACATTAATATGACCAAAATAAAGATGATTTACAAAAATATGATTAGTTACTAGAATAGTAATGAAATCATAGTAATTCATGTTCAAGTTCTGAACTTAAGTTACTACAACACTACGTTGTAGTAATGAATAGTCATATTTATGTAAATAAGTTTTATTTTAGTAATATTGTTGTAAAAACTCTTTGTTTTTATCGATCTCGTCTAATTAAAGATAACGTGGTTAATCCAAGATTTTAATCTCTCTCTTTCTCTCAAACAGAGAGTAGTATTTGAATACTTTTAAGCAATCATAAGCAATGACAACATGAATGAATACTTTTACTGGCATGCAGGAACAGTGATCATACATTCATACTTGGTCATCATTTATGCTTTTAAACCAAGTTATTAATTATTAATCTCGGCGCACACAGATTATTACACGTTTCGTAAGTGTAAAAAAATGTGATTTATAAATGGATGTCGATCACACTTTACGTTAAAGCTAATTTGTTCTTATCATTCATAATATATGTGGATATATAGTGATTTAATTAAGAAAATTGTCTCGCTAAAAAAATAAGATTGAAACATATATGCCCATACGTTTTTCGTTTTCAAAACAAAACGTGATTAGTTATAGAGAAAAGGTTGAAATACATCATTCTGCTATTTTCATTACATTAATTAATTCCTTATGCTAACAAGTACTTTTGCTTTGAAAACACAATCAATCAAGTCACAATCCGTTCAATTTTTTGGTGAATTTTTTTCAAGTTTACTCATACCAAATTTCAGCTAGAATTTCAATCAAGAAAACAGTTAAATAATTTTTTGAAGATAATTGCGCTTTATATATATATAAACAGCGCAGTCTTTTTCAATTACACGTTTGACTGCTTTCCTGATTGATTTTTTAGCTAAAATTTGGTATGGATGAACTAGATTTGATAAAGGAAATGCCTAAAAAGATTCATCAAAATACTTCACCGGGAAAGGTCTCGAAATGCGCTCGACCGGACGGCGCGCGGTTCCCGTCAAACCAGCTAGACAGGAACATGACTCTATATATACATGATTAAGATCAGATACAAATCAGGCTTTCGGTAAAAAATTGTAAATTCATCTCATACGTCCAAATTTATAAAATATGACACTAACATTCAGTCGTTAATGGGAGGAGAACTCCCTATCTTCTCTCAAGTGCATGCGGTTAGCTAGGTTGTTAGTAGGCAAGTTTTAGGAATTTCCAAATTAATAGATTGTAATCTCATTTGAAATGGATGACTAGGATTAATTTTCACTTTAAATTAAGATGAATTTGTATATGATCCTAAATATATATCTGACTAAGGTAAATGTTTCTTACAAAATATGACATTCTAAGTAGTAATTTTAGTCAGATAACTTACACACAATTTTTATACTTAAGTGACTATAAGATTATACTCAAGTAAAGGGTCAGTTTGGTCCTCGAAGTTGCAAAAAAGGTGTCAAATAAGTACTTATATAGAAGATTCTGTCCGGACGTGCCATTTGAGGAGGCTCCCGGTGGAATTTTGTGATAATTTTTTTTGAGCATCTTATTCATTAAGTCTAGTTTACTCATACCAAATTTCAGCTAAAAATTCAATCGGGAAGACATTGAAATGAATTCTTGAAGATAACAGCGCTTTTAACGGCACAGTTATCTTCAAGAATTCATTTGAATGTCTTCCCGATTGAATTTTTATCTGAAATTTGGTATGAGTAAACTAGACTTAACGAATAAGATGCTCAAAAAATTTCATCAAAAAATTCCACCGGGAGCCACCTCAAATGGCACGTTCGGACATAATCTTCTATATAAGAACTTATTTGACCCCTTTTTTTGCAACTTCGAGGACCAAACTGACTCTTATCCCGATTATACTCCGTACTATATAGTAAAAGTAGTCATTTTGAAAAATAAATTTCATTTCTGTAATGCTTTTCTAGACGATCTATATAATTTTTCATAATTACTTTTTTTTTCCTATCATTTAAATCTAGAAATAAATTAACCCTCCTTACCACAAGTATCTTATGGTCTAATTTTTTTTTCTTATGGTCTAATACCACTCTTACACAAGTATCTTATGTGTGATGTGACAAGTTTGAATCTAAAAAATTAACCTACCCTCCCCTTCCCACTCTTCCTATTCTGATATTGCGCAACCAAACAATCCCAATGACTAAGGGTCACTTACCTAATACTCCTACTCAGTAATTATAACTACTGACGGAGTATATTTAAGAATCCAATTAGTAACCAAGCCTTACAAAAAATGGCGGATAGGTAATAGGCTGATAATAATAATAATATCATAAAGTTTAGTGCAATTAACCTAATCATGGAGAGTATCTTCTTATATTGAAAGTTCAACTACTTTAATTAACTTACCTGATTATACTTATTTTTAAAAGGCGAAGCCTTAAATTAAAATATTGAAATCAGCAATGATTAGAATCTAACCATGCCACCTAACTTAAATAAAACCCTATATTCACATGTGGAAACAGCTCGAGTCACTTGAACAAACAATTTTGTCCCCGTAGATTGACCATTAGGACTTTGATTTTTTGAAACAAAAACACTCATTTATTAATGACATTAAAAATAATAGTGGACAAAGCAGAGCAATAGCTCATAGCAACCCTGGAGTGAGACATAGAACTAGCTAGTCCCAGAAGGTCGTGCCAGGTCACTAACTCCACAAAATGGTAGGCTATTCTATCAGAATTGTTGGACTTGCTACTAGGACAAGAATATATAAAAACAAGGGTACGAAAACTGAAAGAAAGAGGTGAAGCATAAATCCTGGTTTTACCATCCACCAACAACGGAGAAGATGTTTGATCCACCACCTCCAAAGACATCATTCTGATTTGACCATCCATCGGGAAGAGAGAGGAGGTTTGTTCAACCACCTCCAAAGGAATCAAGCCGCTCACACAATCTAATAGAATTCCAGGCAGTGCTGGTTCATTAGCACCGCAGTTGCGTCGTTTTTTAGACTGGTACCATCAACCTCCATGCTAACTTCAACCTCCACCAGATTCTGCAAATCCACTGCCCTGCACTTTCTAGACTCCCCTTCATCTAGAGACTTCTCATGATGATGCTTATCTTCCTCTCCCATTTTACCCTTTCCTTTGGACCAGATAGCATCCCACCTCTGAATTCTTCCCTGACTTTCATCGTCCTCCCTGACACTCTGTTGCTCACGCCCTACACGCGGGATTAGCCATTTATTCCCCGGGATGAGCCCCCCTCCCCCCGCCACAAATCATCATGCATCCAAGGGCCGCTTTTTGCCCATCCATGGACCCGCATTAGGGTTTGATGGACAATATTTATCAGTGTGGCCCAGAACTCCACAAATGAAGCAGAGGTTTGGGAGCCTCTCATATTTAAAATATGCCCAAAACCAACTATTTATCGCCTTCTTCCCTCACTTGTGTTCTTATTTTTAGAGCATTCTTCATATTTATTAAGACACGAATACGAACATAATCCTTACTATCTCCATTCAGAGTTCTTTCATCAATCCGTATCAGTTTCCCTAAACATCGCCCAATCCCACTCGCCACTCTCTCGGTCATATAACTGAGTGGCAAGTTGTGAATCTGAACCCAAAATTCCGCGTGGTCGAGCTCCACCTCAAGCGGTCTCTCTTTAGCCTCCACTCGATGAATAACAACTAAATTTTTGTCGTAATACCATGGACCATCCTGCAGCACCCTGGAAATATCGTTTTCATGATAGAACTGAATCATAAATTTCATATCACCAATTTGTTCAATACTCAACCCTTTATTGGGTTGCCAGATCATTGCTATTGTCTTCCCGAAGGAGATGGCACGGACATATTTATCCGTAACAATCCTGACAACAGTAGAAAAACGTGGGTTTTCCCCTTTCCCCACTGCTAATATTCAGTGCACCGGATTCAAAAACCAGCCCACAATTTTCTTCCTCCTCGATCGTCATCTTACCGTAAGCTTCAGCTATATTTTCCACAAGAGTTAAAAAAACACGCACACTACGCACAAATCTTTGCCCAACGGATAGAATTCTAAAAAATCAGATGCACAAGCCACACCCAAACGAACAGCTAAACAGAGCCCTTTTCACAACAGAAACATTTACAAAGAAACGCAATCAAAACTCAGCCAGAGGCTAAAGCTCAGCCGGAATCAGAACAATCCAAAATACCTCACAAGACTAAGTCAGATTGTCAAATATGTTCCCCTGCTCCCTGACTAATTGCGAACGAAACCTCTGCAGTTCCTTTGAAGCCTCCTCGCTGCTACTTCTCCACGCTCCTTAGGCGATGAATAGATACTTGTTAAAAACATGCACAAGTATTAAATAGAGATCACCAAAAAAACAAGCCTTCTTCAATCGACGCAATACTCCTTAGGCGGCGGTGGTGCTTTAGGGTTTTCCGCCTATCCACCCCTATTGAGATTGTTTATTATAAAACTACACCATTAGGACTTTGTTAAGACCCGAAGTTCCAACATAAAATCACGAAACGCTCCAAATTGGGTCACTTGAACAAGCAATTTTGTCCCATCAGATTGACCATTAGGACTTTATTAAGACCCG